TGGGAATCTGATTAGAATTTATCACTATCAGGTAAGGCAAAGTAAAATGTTGAGAAGACCTTACAGCTCAAAGGGACATGACATCTGTATGAAGAATATCACCACACATGCATAAATACAGTTATACATACAACTAATAAATTAATGTATTTTTAGACATAAGAGATAGAGGTACAAATACAAAACATTAATCTGTTTTTATATCCCCTTTGAGCATTTAAGAAAAAACATGTTTTTTCTTCCCATCAAAGAACTCTTCAACATTTAGCTAATAGCTTTCCTTGCCTTGTAAGCAGACACATTTATGGACCCTTTTCCAGAATGCTCAATTCTTCTATGCCAGGGGTGTCAAACTCACATTGTCACGGTGTCGTCATGTGACATATTGTGACTCCCCCCCCCTTTGCTAAACTGGATGCATGATGCATCTGGCCTATGGGGCGCAAGTTTGCCACCCCTGTTCTATGCTATTCCTGTAGAGTAGAAGATATTATCATCCTTAATGGACTCTGTTATCCTTTAGTAAAGTTTAACAACTACTCTAAAACCCAGTATATGTTATGTGACAGGTATAGTTGGCTTTTCCAAGATTTGTGGACTGGGATCTAAAACTGAATTGTTGATTGTATATAGTCCTTTCTCTTCTGGATTTATGTTATTCTAATATAATTTTAATGTTAGGTATTTTAGTGGCACAAGATTTCAACATAGTCTTTTAATGATGCTTTTTATGTTCTGCTGCTGGAATTAAAATGCATATGTTAGTTCAGCAGGATTCTCCCAACACTTTGGCATCTCTCTTACAGGCAAAGAAACAATGGTTTCAAAAATTCACATATTATATACATTTAAAAGTGATTATATACTACTAATAAAAATACACAATGAATTTAATTAAATTTATTACTTCGTTATAGTGGTATTTCTTTCTATTTCTATTGCAGTCGCACTTAGATTTATATAGTGCCCCACAGTGATTAGGGCAGTTTACAATGTCAACATACTGCCCTCAACAATCTGGGTTCTCATTTTACCAGCCTTGGAAGGATGGAAGACTGAGTCACCCTTCAACCCCATTAGGATCGAGCTCCAGGCTGTGGGCAGAGTTAGCCTACAATGCTGCATTCTACCGTCTATGGCATCAATTAGCAAATTAATATTATTTACATGAATACCTCATCTGATTTTACTAGTATCATAGGACACAATATTGGCCTGGATTAAAAACTTCCATTTAACATTGTTCCTTTCAAATATCAGCAAAAGTGTTATAATATATTCATTCTATACCAACACTAATGCAAGCAATTGATTGATTAAATGCCATTAGGTGGATGTCAACTCTTAATGATTGCATAGATTTTTTCCACAATGATCTATTCCCAACTTGTCTTTCATATCTTAATGGTGCTGTAATTGAGCACAAAGTACAAACAAAAAAATATATTTTGGGTGGCATCCAATATTTCAGTGCTGGAAGCCACTCTATG